AATCCATCGAACAATCAAATATTTACATTCAGTCACCACCTAACTTATCACTCGTGCATATAAAATAAATAGGCCAATTATCGTTAGTACATTACTCTTCAGAAGAAGAAACCAGATCTTCAATAAACACATCAGCATCCTCATAATCTGAATCACCTAAACAAATTCTCCCATCCTCATATTCCGAGGCTTCTTGATCAACATAACCACTAGTCGCTGTAGAAAGACCTTCCAAGGTCTCACCTGTAAGTGAAGAATTAGTGCTGTCCCTAAGTCTAACTTTTTGGGATCTACTTTTGGTCCTTGGATTATCGAGAACTGATTTGGGATCCCTATCGTTTGGATCGCCATATAGAGCAACATGCCGGTAATATAGCTCTAATTCCTTCTCAGCAATCGCAATAAAACGTCTTACGGACTCTAGAGATTGTTCATATTTTGATTTTTCCAGTGCCTGCAGAAGATAAAACATCATAAGGCATGACATACAAGTAAAGTAGAGAAGAAAAAAAGAAAAAAGAAAAAAAAAACTTGAGGTAGAGTTATTATTTCAGGTTGAAAGATGGCATTTACTTAGCATGTAATAAATATCATCTCTTAGGGGATGATTAAAATACTAACCTGGGGTACAAACTAATTATTTGGGAAGAAAAAATAGAAAAAGAAAAAAGTTTTTTTTTTTCAAAGCTACAAGCACCCAATTTGTTTCTATCGCAAAACTGGAGAGTAGTTTACGAATGTTTGTGATTTTTACCAACTGGACTTTTTTAGTTACAAGCGAAGAGCTTTTCCAATCATCGTGGGTATAAAGAGTATCATCATAATGATTTGAACAATAATAGCAAACAAGTTCCCAAAAGACATGTAGCACAAAGATGATCTGCATACTGAAGAGAACAAACCAGATCAGTCAAAGACAACCAAGAAAATGAATTAAGCAAACGGGTTAACACTGTGTCAAATGGAGAACAGAATACACACACCTCAGGAGGACTCGTTGAAAACCTAATTTTCCAATTGGATATGCATGCTTTTTTAAGTCCACTAGTTTTCAGAAGCATACCCGTTTCTTTGATAAAGTATCCACAGGCGACATGACCTTTGGCTGCACATAGTTCTTTCCTCGATAAAAAATAATCGTGTCATCCCCATATATCTGGATAGGGACCCCACCACTTAGCCGAGCAATTTCATCTGCATACACTTGAATTTGGCCGGGCTTGCAAGGTTTGCAAATGACCTTAACGGTTTCATGTTTCTTCCAGTGCATATGCATATTGAGAATAACCCCTCCAAAGATCCCTCTTCTGCCAATCGGGACATAATTGGATCTTTTCTGGGCCATCTTCTTCATGTAAAACCGTTCCTCGCCTGTTAAAACATGGGGTTCAACTGCAGGGCCCTCAGCTTTTGGGACTTCATACCTCTTCAGCCTTTCAATTAATAAGGTTTCCTTGATTCTTGCCTGAAAATTGACAGAAGAATAGAGAAATCAACAAAAATAGTCCATTGAGGAGGTAATAAAAATCAACTTGAGTGGGTCGTGGGTGAAATTTAAAGAGCGAAATGAAAAATTCTTTATATCTGAGGGTAATCCCGGATCCGATATTGAGACTTTGGCCCCTTCTACATAGAAACCACATGATCCGAAAAACAAAAGGGAATGAAATCAGACAAAAAAACAAGTCTAATTTGTTCTCTTGCTCAGCATCAGTTTCATAATTCATAACAAGAGCCTTGTACTCTTGCCTGATACAAGGCTATTCTGAGTGCAATCATCACTTCCAGTTTTCAAAATGTTCATTCTCTGATACAAGCATCGAAACAGTTAAAAAAATCAAAAGGACGTAAGAAAGATGATTTCCAATGCACACCAATTTGTTAAAGCAATAGAACAACAGATTAAAGTCTTCACATCACTCGACTTTTATATGTTATGCACCTCTCCATGTAATACCATCCATAGGAACAATAAAGGTTGCAAACAACAAACAAATAAAATCATTGCAAAAGCATGATACATAGTGGAAGGACTCAAAGAGCAGAAACAATAACAACAAGAACAATCCTTAGATAGAAGAGGTAAAACTCAAATACTAAAATCCAACTGCAGAAACGAACCAAGACAAACAGTATTAATCTGTCACATTGTATATAAATCACTAGACGCTTTGAGAAGCAAGTTCTATTAAGATATAGGCACATACATTTTCAAGCTTGTATTTGATCCTCTCCTCTGCATTTGCAAACCTTTTCCTCTTTTTGTTGCCCTTGACTCCGAGCCTTCTGGGATCTCTCTTATTCGCAGCCTTTCTCATCTGCTTCTCTCTCTTTCTCTGAACCTTCAGCCTTTTCTTTGTCTGCCACTTTTCCTTTTTCGGGGGATCGATTTCATGAGTCTCAAACTGGGGGCTTCCCTGGGGTGATATAACCAAACTAACTGAACCATGACTGAAGCTTCTCTTTTGCCAGCCAAAACTTTCAAGCCAAGAATTGTGTGGTGTTTGCAGCTGATATGCAGGCCTTAGAAAAGGTGAAAACGGCGGTGGTTTTTGAAGAATTTTCCTGCTAGTAGGAGAAAAAAAAAAACACGGTTTAGTAAGATGTAGCGAAGAAACTAATGCTGCATCGATGGTAATTACTATTTTTTTACACTTAAATGAGGCCGAAGAGAGAAGAGTCTAAACACCTGAAAGTGAGAGGATGATTGTAAAGGGAAGATAATGATAATCTACAGAGAGTTCGACGAAGCGGATTTGCCATGTGAACAGAACATTAGCTTTGCCTGCCTGTGATATTTGAAAAGCTTCAGAGGATATTCTTTCTGTAACAAGCTTCCAGAAATAGCCAAGTAAAATTATAATATCCAAATCTCTCTCT